AAGCCCAAGCCTGCAAGTGAAAGTGAATTCTTTTACTGCAAGAAGAAAAGGCATTGGAAGCGCAACTGCCGAAAATACCTTGACTACCTCAAGAAGAATGGAGTATCAACCTCAGGTAATATGTTATAAACATTTTAACTTTCACTTAGGTATGTGATACCAAGTTGCAGTGCTAACATTATTCATGTTGTGCAGAAACTGAAAAGAAGTGAGGCTAACATTGGAAATGGAGCTTAAGGGTGTACGAGAAGTGTTCAAGTGGCCAAGAGAAGCTTCATAGTTTTAATTTTAGAATTTTATGATGATTTTAGACTATTTCCGGTTTTTGATGAGACAATATTTCAGTTTTTGTTTGAATACTAATTGGTTTTACGTGGCATGGACAAGTGTTGATCCATGACCAAGGTAATAAATTGTTTTCATTTTGCTAGCTATGAGTTAATTTCGTTCTATGACATTGATATAAGTAGATTACAAAAGCAAAATAGATGATTCAAAACAAACTTACTTATAACATAGTAAGGTTAGGTCACCTAAAACCAATTGCGCATCCAAAGTTACAATTGGATGGACTCTTATCCTCATTTGATTATATATGAATCACTTAAGAATTATAAAGTCATGCTTGATAAGGTAAGATGACCAAGTCACCTTTTAGTTGAAAGGGTAAAGGAGCTAATGACCTTTTGGAGCTCATACATATGGATGTGTATGGACCAATAAGTACAAAACTAGATATAGATTTAAATATTTTATTAGTTTTATTGACGATCTAAGTAAATATGGGTATGTTTACTTAATGAAGCAAAAGTTGGAATCACTAAAAAAGTTCAAGGAATTCCAGAATGAAGTATAAAATCAGCTTGAGATAAACATTTAAAGCACTACGATATGATCGTTGTGATAAATATTAACTCAAAACTACAATGATCATCTAAGGAATTATGGAATTATTTCACAATCAAAGGAACACAACAATTAAAAATGTGTTAGAAAGGAGGAATCAAATCTCGCTTGCCATAATTTGATCCAAGATTAGCTTTAATGATTTACACACATTGAATATATTAAACAGAAACCCATCCAAATCAGTTAAGAAGACGCCATATGAGTTATGGACTGGAAATGTTCCAAAGTTGTCTTTTCTCAAGATTTGGGGCTGTGAAACCTATGTAAAACGTTTACAAGGTGACACATTAGGCCCTAAAATTAGATAAATGTTTCTTTGTGGTTTGTCCCATAGAAACAAGAGGGTATTACTTCTACAATCGCGCAGATAACAAAGTGTTTGTTGCTTGCGATGGTGTCTTTATGGAAAGGAAATCTCTTTCTACAAAGCCAAGTGGGAGTAAAGTGGCTCTCAAAAAGATTCGAGACGAGCAACAAATGGATGTGGATAACACCATATCGGAGACGAGGGTGTATGAGTCAGTTAATTTGACAAAACATGTGCCAGAGAAAGCTAATTCAACTAGCGAAGCTCCTATCGTCCCACTAGAATGAAAAACTTCAAAGAGTTGAAGGGTATAATTTCTATTGTTGCTCATACCAGTCGTAGGTATTTCAGAATCAAAACAAGTAGTTTGTTAAAATTCTGATAAGCTGAGGATTCCAAAATTTTCTTATTGGAATATGTGGAACCCACAACCTACAAGCAAGCTTTGGCAAGCACCAACTCAGGAAATGGCTTGAGGCCATAAAATCCAGAATCGACTCCATGTCAGAAAGATGATATGTTAGTCCTAATTGACTTGCAAGTGGGTTCAAACCCATTGGTTGCTTAAGTCTATTCGGATTCTAGCGATTGTTAATTTATAATTACGAAATTTGGTAGTTGGATGTCAAATTCGTCTTCTTGAATATGTTCTTGATGGAGGATGTGTATAAACAACCTCAGGGTTTTGTAGATCCTAGAAAGTTTTGCAAACTTCAGAAATCCATTCATGGATTGAAGCAAGCATCAAGGAGTTGGAACATTCGTTTCGATGAGGCAATCAAACAGTTTGATTTCCTTAAAGAGCGAAAAGAATCTTGTGTATACAAGAAGTTTAGTGGGAGCAATCTGGTTTTCCTAGTCTTGTATGTAGATGCCTTTTGTTCATAGGAAACGACATATCAGTGCTTGAGTCAGTCAAGTAATGGTTAAAGAGTTGTTTCTATATGAAAGACTTGTGAGATGTCAAGTACATATTGGGAATTAAGATACATCGAGAAAGGTCTCGAAGGATGACTGAACTAAATCAAGAGACTTATGGTGATAAGGTTCTTGACAGATTTGGAATGCAAGACTCTATGAGAGAGAATTTCACTCCCATGCTTCATGGTATTACGCTCAGTAAAACTCAGTGCCTTCAAAATCCAGAAGAGTTGAGTCGTATGAATAATATAATGTACCTCATGCTTTTGCAATAGGGTTCATTAGGCATACCATGATATGTACAAAGCTAGATATTGCACATGCCTTGATTATGTGTAGCAGGTTTCAAGCAAATTCAGGATAAGTACACTAAAAACTGCTAAGAACAAATCCTTAAGTACTTGAGAAGGACTAAAGGAATGTTTTTAGTTTATGGTGGCAAAAGTAAATTGGTTATCAACAAGGGTTATACGAATGCAATTTTCCAAACAGACAAAGATGACTTTAGATTTGGATCTAGATACATTTTATGTCTGAATGGAGAAACGGTGAGCTTGAAGAGTTCAAAGCAGAGCTCTGTAACAGACTCAATGTCAGAATATGAGTGTTTAGCTGCAGTAGAAGCAGTTAAGGAGGAAGTTTGAATCAAGTTACTTTGTGACAAAATTACCCCTTTGCCCAATCAAAGGATACAGGGTCACATTACAAATCCAAACATGTTAAGTTAAAGTATCACCTCATTTAAGAGATCGTTGGCTAGCAGGATGCCAAGATCAGCAAAGTTTCATATGAGTGAGAACATCACTTATTTATTTACTAAACCCCTTCCATAGACTAAAGTATGAGAGTCATACTAAGGCTCTTGGATTGAAACAAGTTATGTAATTTATGTTGTATATGTTTTGAGAAAACTTATTACATAAGAATTACATCAACTTGCAGAATTATGTTTAATCAAACATTTTCATTTCTATTATTTAATTACGGTTTTCGAAATTAAATAAAAGACCAAATTAGAAAATAACACCTGGAAAAACACCAAATTTTGATTATAACACCTAAACATTTCAAAGTTTTATTATAACACCACTTAAAAAATTAAAATTTTGGTTTCACCACTAGATAACATAATCTGTGACGGAAAATGTGTGTGGGGCCCACAAATTAGTTTACCCTCCAAATTTCATCCTCTTCAATTCGATTCTCTCTCCTTCCATTAATTACCCAACTACTTCTCCTTCATTAAATTCTCTCTGTTAATATTGAACAACCAAAATTACTGTCAAGAATCAAACCCTAGAGTGAATTGTGTGGTTGAGATATTCAATTACAAGGGGAGGTGTCAGTATTGGAGCGAAACAACTCAGCGAGACTTCGTCAGCCATTCTCAACAACCAAAAAGCTTGGATTTTTCGTAGATTCTGACAACTACAACAGTAAGATTCCAAAATAGGTACCTTTAGAACCTTTTACAGTAATTTTCAGCAACTGATGATGTTAATTATGCCATTTTTAAGAGGATTGTAGGGTAAATTGGGCAAAAAATTTGGAACCCTAAAAAATGTAAAATTGGGTGTGATTTACTGTGTGTAATGTGCGAAATTAAAGTAATATGTGAGTAATTAAGTATGATATAGTTTAATTGGTTAATTTTTTACTTTAATTAATTGATTTTGGTGAACTGTTGACCGGTTTGTCCTTGTTTTGGTGTAAAATATGTTTGCTTTTGTTAATTAAAGTAGTGCGTTTGACTATGTAATTGGGGTAAGATATGTTGGATTTTGTTGACTTGCTTTGCATCTGTTTATTGGGTAGATAAATTGCCAACAACCAAGAAGGATTAATTGATATAGTATTCAGAGTTGATGGTGCTTTTGTTCCCAATAGTGTGTCAAAAACAAAATATTTGTTGTGCTGGTGTGGTGGGTTATGTTATTGGAGGAGGGATGTGGTAGTGCATAAGATAGATGTACATTATTTGAGGGAAGCTGCTGTGCATGGGTTTGTGAATTATAATGTCCATGTCCCTCCAAACTACAAACTGTGGTATAGACAAAGAGGGAGGACCTTTAACACAGGGAGAAGGGAAATAGTAAATGAAGAGGAAGTGAAGGGGCTGTTAGATACAGTGAATGGGGAAGGGTCTGTGGAAGTTTTTGTGACTACAGAAGAACCCCTAAGGCCCATACATGAGGCCCAGTCCACTCTTGAAAAGGCTGAGAAAAAGGGGAAGAAAATTACAGGAAAGACTATACCAGTTAGGAAGAGCCCAAGTCTTAACAAAACTGACCCTAAGGTGAGTCAAAGGGAAGATTCTTCTAAACCCGGATCTAGACAAGATAAGGGTAAGGGGATAGGAAAGAGGGAAGGGGTTTCTGCTAAGAGTGAGGGGGTTTTTGGTAGAGGGAAGGTGTTAGGTAAAGGGAAAGGTAAAGCTAGCTTGAAAGGGTTTTTGGTAGTGGGAAGGTGTTGGATAAGGGGAAGGGGAAAAATAAATCTGTAGCTAAAGGATTGGTTTTTGAGGATAATAGTGAGGGCAGTGAGGCTGGAAGTGAGGATGAGTATTCTTCTACTGATGAGAGTGACATTAACATAACTTGGGAGCCTGGAGAGGAGGAGTACGACAGTGGGGATGAGAGGTGGTTTGTCCAGAATTATGAAGAGATTTCGGAGAAGGTAATAAGAAGTCTTGGGAAGCAGTTTGATGTACATGATCAGGGGGTTGCCAAGGATCCTAAGTCAAGGTTGAAAAAGAACTTGGATGTAAGTGAGGTTTAAGTGCAAGAAGAAATTGAGGGAGAATCAGATGACCTAAGGAGCTTGGATGGTTCATCAGATGAAGAGGACAACAGTCCTTAGTTTAATGAGAAAACTGACTTCAGTAAGCCTGTTGTACTTGTTCAGCAATGTCACTATTTTAAGGAAAGCTCTTAGAGTGCATGCCATAGAGAATAGGTATGAACACTATTTTTTGCACAATGATAGTAGTAGGGTAACTATTCAGTGTAGGAACAGATGTGGATGTAAGTATCAAACAAAGACAAGTAGGATGCCTTTGTGTACATGCAAGGGTGGAGTGAAGTGCAATTTCAAGATCCATGCTATTAAGTTAGTTAGACAGCAGACTTTGCAAATAAAAACCATGAAGTTACAGCATAGATGTGTGAGAAGCAGGGAGAACAAGAAGGTCACTGCAGAGTTCATTGCAGAGAGGTACCTTGAGGAGTTCAGAACTAACCCAACATGGAAGGTAAAGCATATCACGGGTAGGGTGCTGCAAGACCTGGGGGTTGAAGTGACCTACTACAGGGCTTGGATGGCAAGATGTAGAGCTAAGTTGATAATTTTTGGTTCAGCAAGAGAGAAATATGCAAGGGTCTGGGATTATGGTAAGGCTGTAATGAAATACAACCCAGGGTCTTATTGTAATGTGGTGGTAGATGGCATTGACCACCCTGAGCCTCCCTTGTTTATGAGAATGTTTGTTTGTTTAAGGCCTTTAAAATATGGGTTCTTGAAGGGTTGTAGGTCAATCATTGGGGTGGATGGCTACCACTTAAAAGGAGCTTACCGAGGCCAGATTTTAGTTGTAGTGTCCAAAGATGGAAACAACAGCATTTTCCCTATTTCTTGGGCAACATGTGAGGTTGAAAACAGGGAGAATTAGGTCTGGTTTCTAGAATCCCTGATGCATAGCCTTGGGAGTGCAAATGGTTCAGGCTTCACCTTCATGTCAGATAGGCAGAAGGTAAAAGTGTCTTATTTTTTTCTAGTCTTTATTGTGTCCTATTCTTTATTCTGTGAAGTGTGATAACTATTTTTGTATGTCGTTAAACAGGGACTGGTTGAAGCTCTATCTGAAGTTGTGCCAAATGCAGAGACAAGGTTTTGTGTTAGGCACATTTGGGAAAATTTCAAGCTGAAGTTCACTGGATCAATTTTCAAAGAGCTCTTTTGGAGTGCTGCAAGAGCAACAACACTTGTAAGTCTGTAGCTTAGATTATTTTGAACAAATAAAACTATGAAATTGAATTGGATTCAGTGAGCTTAGATTGTTATGAACAAATGTAGTGAACATTGTTCTTGTTGTGTAAGAGCTTGACTAGAACACTGGATTCAATGAGCTTAGAGTGTTATGAACAGATTTATGGAACAATGTTCTAGTTGTGTAGCTTAGATTGTTATGAAAAAATTTAGTGAACACTGGTATTGTTGTGTTTGTACCTTGAGTATCAGATACTAATGCAACAGATTAGGGAGCTTGATGAGGAGGCTTATGGTTACTTGGATAATATCCCCACTCATCACTGGTGTAGACATGCATTTAGTGACAGTTGCAGGTCCAACATGTTACTAAACAACATGTGTGAGACTTTCAACTCAATTATTAGAGATGTAAGAGACAAACCTATCCTCACCCAAATGGAATGGATGAGGAGGTACATGATGAGGAGAAACAATGAGAAGTGGGAGGACTCCAAGGAAATCACAAGAAACTTGACTCCATATGTGCATAAGTTGTTTTAAAGGATGAGCTATGTGTCTAGGAATTGCATTGTTCAAGCTGCCAGGGATGACACTTTTGAAGTGCAGCTTAATGATGACCAGGCTCTAGTTGACTTAGGAAATGGGACTTGTTCCTGCGGTCATTGGCAATTGACAGGCATCCCATGTGTTCATGCCTTTGTATGTATAATGGATCAAAGAATTGATGCTGAGCAGTATGTCCACCCTTATTACAGTATGGACAGTTATAGAGCAGCATATGAGCCTGCAATTCAACCAATGTCAGGCCCAAAGCACTGGGAGAGAGTGAACATGAGAGAGCCTCAGCCACCAGCCTTCAAAGTGCAGCCTGGAAGACCAAAATAGAAGAAAAGAAAGCTGGAGCCTGGTGAGGGAACATCTGCAACAAAAGGGGAGCAGGGAAGGAAGAGAAGGAAGAGTCAGTGCATGAATTGTGGTGAATTTGGCCACTATCCCAAGACTTGCAATGTCCCACATGTACCTAAACCAACTAACCAGAGATCTGCAGGAAAGCAGCACAAAGAACAGAGTGCTCTGATCTTCCATTTCTTCCATGCATCTCTCTATTCATCTTCTTCCTGACAGAGTTTAAAGCCTTGCATTTCATCTTTAGCCTATCCACTTCATTGAGAAAACACCTCATCTGTCCACCTAGATCATCAACTTCCCTTTTATAGTCACTAATTTCTCCCTTCAACAGCTTCTTATGTAACAACAAATTGTTGATCACCTCTGTTTGCCAGGTGGTCCCATCTTGTTCATCCACCCATTCATGCTTTACTACCTCGACTCTCAGTTAGAGGATCATAGAACTTGCATGTTCTGAACTTCCGACCAAGGTTCTCCCTTGTCCAACTTGTAAGCTTCGCAAAGGGAACACCACACTTGCACTTCTTCTCCTTTGAAGGAGATGAACTTATGAAAGACATCTCCTGCACCAATACGCCATCCACAATAAGCAAAACCACTCCTACTTTGAAAAACAATATAAATGAACCAAGGGAAATAAACAATCAGTCTGACAAATCAAAAACCCCAATTTATGTTTCCGACCCTAATTTCATTTTTTCGCAAATTAGAGGACAATTAACACACAATGAACCCTAAATATGTACGAATTACATTATTAATACCACATGAGAAATGAATTATGCACTTAATATAACAACATAGATTGATTTACACCTCATTAAAGAAAGATAAATTAGGTTTTTCTGCAGTGGTATTGACGCAATTACCTGATTTCAAATCTTCCTCCCCTGAACAGTGATGCTAAAATCAAACAATTTCGGCAATTTGATTGTTGAATTCGCAAAATGTGAAGCCTAATTTTGTGTGACCAGATCAACAGTTCACCGTTTGTGAAGGATATCGTAACTATATAAAGCACTTTGAAAAAAATAGCCGTTGCAGTGGGCCCAACTAATAGATCTTCTAACGTCGTAACCATTTAGGTGGTGAAACCAAAATTTTAATTTTTTGAGAGGTGTTATAATAAAACTTTGAAATGTTTAGGTGTAATAATCAAAATTTTGTGTTTTATCAGGTGTTATTTTCTAATTTGGCCTAAATAAAATGTCCAAATTAATTTTTAATTGATGGATTCATCAAGTTGATGACTTGGTGAATGAAACTCCACAGGTGAACAAAATTCATATATTATTTAAGTTTCTAGTTTGAAATCATTAAATTGGACATAAATGATTTCAATAAATGGACTATCATGTAAGATTGATTGAATAGCGCAGTTTCATGGGCTATAGGGGCATAGAGATGCTCGGTCAATCACATGGGTATGCATGAATGATGCATGATCGAACTATTGACCTACTTAGAAGTTCAAATATAGAACTTCCGGGTATATAAGTGGATTCCTTTGACATGAGGGGGACACTGATTTCATTCAATGATTGATTTAACTGTGGTACATCCAAACGTCATTTCGTAAAAGGAGACTATAAAAGATGTTTCCTGGTTAGTTTAAAAGTTGAGTGGGAGCTTTGGTTACCGCAATTAAGATTGGATTGAGTTTACCTATTTAATTAGGGAATGTGTCATGGCCGGTTGAAGAGGGAGAATTAAAAAAATACGTGCTCGTGTTAAAATGCATTACTACTCAGTAATCATTTGGTTTTGTAATTCTAATTCAGATTTCAAGAAACGATTTGTAGATTAATATGATCTCGACATGGGATGCAATCATATTATCAAATCGACACATATTGACTTAAAGAATTTGAATATTGCATACTTATCTCAGACAAGTGGGAGATTGAAGGATTTATGTCTTCAACAAGTACAATTACTAGATATATAATGGATCAAATTATGGAGATAATTAAGTTCGTCCATTTGAGTCGTCATTATATCATAGCTAGAGATACGAACGATCTTTGTGCTAGTAAAATAGGCCAAAGCCCAATTAAACTGATCGTATAAGGTCACACAAAGGGCCTAGATCAAGCATAAGAGGACGAAACCATGATGGGCCTCATCACTCTAGGTGACCGGCCATGAGGGTGGTTTGGAGGGTTATTGGGCTTCCTAACCTAGTCTAATTATAATAGGATTATAAATAGACTAGGTGCCTAGGTTTTTCATAGAACAGTTTTACTGTTAAGTTGAAATCCTAATTAGCAAACACGAAACCAAGCCTCTCAAACCTCCCTCTCTCTCACGACTCCCTCCTCCTCTAGGCGCCGATGGTGTGCGGTGCTGGTGGTGATCGTTCGTGGTGGTCGGTTGTCCAAGGAAGGTGGTGATCGTGACAAGCGCGCTTTAAGGCATATAAATGGGTGATTTTGGATGTATTTAGGCCCGTTTTGGTCGTTTATTGCCTTGTTACACTCGTTTCCTTCATATTACGTGCTTCACGGGTTTCGGTCTGTTTTTGGTGTGTTAACAGGTATAGTTGACCAAGTTATGTCGAGTCCCGAACCATTGGTGCGTAATCAGGCTATTATCGATCCTAGTCTACCAAGTTAAGGCTTTGCTGCGGTTCTCAAGGCCTTTAAAGGCAAGTTAAGTAGCAAGCAAGGCAGAACAGTTCACAAATATGACACCTGTTCACTATTTTGCTCACAACTTTCAGTATACAAATGATAATGGAATGATTCTAATTGCATTGGAAAGTAGACTTAAAGAGCTTTCCAACGATATATTGCACGCCTCAAACGGAGCTCTGGATAAGAAGTAGTGACTGTTTTAAGAAGACCAAAGTGCCTGCAACCTTTCTGCCTATGCTGCACGGCCGTGCCACTTTTAGCACGGCCGTGCCAGGCATTAGCACGGCCGTGCCAAGCCAATTTCCATGCCTGTGCCAGTGCCAGATTTAGCACGACCGTGCCAGGCATTAGCACGGCCGTGCCAGATTCAGCACGGCCGTGCCAAGCATTAGCACGGCCGTGCCAAATTCAGCACGGCCGTGCCATAATTGAAGATATTGCGGATCAGCTACTGCCATGCTTGCACGGCCGTGCCACTTCCAGCACGGCCGTGCCGATTCACGAAGGGCAGCCTGCGATTTACTTTCCGATTTAAAACATATATATATAGCCTGATTGTAAGGGTTAAGAGAGAGTTTTTAGAGATAGTTTTTGAGAGCCTTTGTAGAGAGTTATTGGAGAACTTTCTTAGTTTTAGATATTCATTAGTTTTCTTAGAGATTATTCTAGCGATTTTAGTTTTCTTGGATTGATTTGAAGCAAGATTTGTGAAGATTCTTTGTATTATTCATTGACGACGGATATCAAAGTTCTGAACTTTTCCATTGATTCGCATCAATACAATTGGTATTATTCATTCTTGTTTATTAATCAAGCTTTATTATTCCTTAATCAGAATTCATGTTTATATCTATTATGCTTTTGGAACTCATTATTGCTTTGATTATGAATATGTGTGAGTAGTCTCCTAGCTAGGGTTTCGGGATGAAACCCGGCCTAGGTAATCTATGTAATTGAGGATTGATTTTGATAAACGAATTGTGATTAAATTGATTATATGCGATTGCATGTTAATTCATTATAATAGGAGTAGCTAACCTAGAATCTTGAATTTGATTGCATGATATCCTTGATTTGAACAAGAGATTGTGAATTGAGTATTTCATTATTGAATGTGGTTTGATTATGTATCGAGTAATGTTAAGTGCATGAGAAATCCAAGCTTAGTATTGCCCGTTGTCTTCCTATCACATGATATTGATCAGACATATAGTCTTTGCATATCCCGTTTGTCTCTGTGATTCCTTGTTGCGTAGTTACCGATGGTTTGGTGAATTCCCGTTCTCCCTAGTGTCTTAGTTTATTGATTTATTCCATCTTATTAGTAGTATTTTAGAACACCATTTTCCATTGATTTCGAACTAGCTTAGGTTTAAGATAGATTTGCAATTACTCTCGTTCCTCGTGGACCGAACCTTTATTTGCCATTGTACTTGGTTATAGGGTGTTCGTATAAGTATTGTTTGATTGAGAGTTAGATTGTAGCGACCGATTTAACCCTCGTCAAAATGGCGCCGTTGCCGGGGAGCGGTGTTTGTTAATTGCTTTTTGATTTCTTGAGTCTAGTTCATCATAAAAAAAAAGCACAAAAAGATTTTTCCCTTTTGGCTACACTTGTAGCCCTGCTATTTAATTGTTTGGTTAGTGTGTATGCGCAGGTCTAAACAGAGAGAATTAATAGCCTTCGATCCAGAAATCGAAAGAACTTTGAAGAGCAATCGTAAATCTCGATTGACGTCATCAAACTCTCAAGGAAAGGAACACAACACACAACAGGTTCCAATGGAAAACATAACGCGCCAACCTAATCGGCCAGCACCACGACCCCTTAAGGAGTTGGGAACTCCTGGGGCGTATAGAGCTTCAAGTGGGATTGCTCCACCCACTACTGAGGCCAATGATTTCGAGATCCGGCCAGCTATGATCACCCTCATCGAGAGAAGGCAGTTTAGTGGTGCCAAGCATGAGAGCACTTTGGCTCATTTGAACGAATTTGAGAAGTACTGCAATACCATCAAGGTTAATGGGGTGAATCAAGAGTTCGTGAGATTGAAGCTTTTCCCCTTTTCACTTATTGGGAGAGCTCTCGAATGGTTAGAGAAGGAGGTGAAGTCGAACTCTCTACACACTTGGGATGATGTCACGACAGCATTTTTGGGAAGATTCTATTCTCAAAAGAAGACGGCCGATGCTAGAGCCTTGATTTAAGGGTTTCGGCAAAGGAGTGGGGAGTCGATCTATGAAGCATGGGAAAGGTACAAGGAGTACCAAAGAGAGTGCCCACACCACGGAATCCCAACATATCAAGTTTTACAGATTTTCTATGGAGGATTGAGTCCT